GGATGGATGGGAAGATGAATTGATCAATTGAGTGAGTGAATGAGTGAAAGGCCTACCACTCACACACAAATTTTTGTTTTTCCACCAGAATTGTTTTTTTCCTTGTCCAGTCACAGGATGCCCCAAAATGGGGCACTATGCTGACCAATTTCAGGGCAACACCAGCGCCGTGGGACCGTTTTTCCTCCTGAACACGGGAGCGAGTGGTAACTTTACTAGTAAGTTTCCATTGTACCCATTTAAAAGCTGCAAATGATTTTAAAAGGTGAATCAACCTTGTTAGTTAGGATCCTTGGTAGCAATGGATAGAAACTCAACACCAGCCAGCTTAAATGATAATGGAAGGACGGTAGAATGGCATTTGTCTTGCCTCTCACGTTCACCCCTTTAACCAATAATCCTGACCAGCAGAGTAGGTCAATCGTGAATGGTCCAGGCTGGTCACATGTCCACCCAACCCTGTGGCAGGAAGGACGGATCCATGAACAGAAGAAGGCAAGATGGGGCATAGGCACCCTGTGATTACCCACCATGCTAGTCCCCCTGTTTACACACACCTGAGCATGCTGTGTTTTACGATTCATAACAGTAGCAACATTACAGTTATGAAATAGCAACGAAAATAATTTTACGGTTGGGTCACAACATGAGGAACTGTATTTAAAGGGCCAGAAGGTTGAGAACCACTGCATTAATAGAAAAAGGCAAGATGGGGCAAAGGCACCACGTGATTACCCACCATGCTAGTCTCCCTGTTTACATACATGTGAGCATGCTGTGTTTTTTGGTGTTATTTTGCACAGCTTCTCACTTAAAAGGAAGATAGTAAAAGCATCAAGATTTGTTTATTATAATTAATACTAAGGTCCCGGTGCATGAAGATTTGTTCACGGGGTTGGGGGTGGTGGGTCCCTCAGCCTGACCTGCACCATCTCCAATCTAGGAGCCCTCAGAGGAACTCTCTCCAATCCTGGAATTTCTGTCTGTCTTTGCAATCATATGAGCGAATTGTCTGAGACCCCAACTCAGTTTGGTTTGTTGCTCACAGAATAATAGAGGCATGTTTTTTTTTCTTTGCTTCATTGGTGGAGATTTCCTGGCAGTTTTAGGATATCTTCCCTTTAATTTATCCTAGACACTCTGATTTTACTTACGTCTCTCACCTTTGCTTTCCCTCCATCCCCCACTGCAACAGTAACTTGCTCCAGGCTCACTTTGCTCTAGTGTCTAGGAGATCCATCTGCCATCAGAACTACTATTCCCAGAATTCCTGGTGCTCCCTGTGCTCTCCATCCCACGGCCACCCACTCTGCCAAGTCCTCCAAGCCACCAGCCCTCCCTCTCTGCTCTCCCTCTGGCAGCTTGGGGAAGTTCTCCAAGCCACTCCACTCTCCGCTGGCTCTCCAGCTCTGCTCTCTGTCTGGCAATTGAAGGGGTATGGCTCTAATCCTCCGGCTCTCCCACTCTGCTCTCTGCCAGGAGGCTTGGGGGGAGCGACTGAGGGAGCCACGTCCCCCAAAGCCGCTGGCTCTCCCGCTCTGCTCTCCACCATCTTTGTTGAATTAATTTGCACACTCACTCCTGATTGGCTGGTGAGCATAGCGGAGCAATGGTCAATTTACATGTTTCTTTTTTGTAATATAGGATTACATGATGGCTGAAAAGAAGAGCATGTATTTTCCAAGGGAGTTTTACATTGAAAAACATTTATGCAGCACTTCACAAAACACTGTTTACACAGGGAATTTCATGCAATATGACACTTAGCATACACAATAGCAGTTAGGAGTATCTATAAAGCTTACAAGCATGTTCCTTTAAGTCAGAATGCACTTTAGCAATATGCTTGCATGTGTGTGGGAGAAGGTATTCAAGGATGTTCACTGCAGCATTGATTTTAGTACCAAAATAAATGCTGATCCTTCCTCGAATGGTTACATACAGGATGTGGTTGTTTAACAAGTGGTGGAGAAAGCTAGATATCCACCACTTTTTAAACAACCACATCCTGTATGTAACCATTCAAGGAAGGATCTAGAAAACCTCTAAGGCATATTAAGTAAAAAAGGCAAATAGCAAACCATCACAGAATATATCGTGTTCCAGTCAGGGTCTCTGCAGAAAACAGAGCTCATTCAAGTGGTTCAAATGAGGAGAACTAAATGGAGGGCCCACTTTTGGAGGAGTGGACAGGGTTGAAAGAACAAACGAGGGATGCTGAGGCGCCCAGAATCTAGTGGTTGCTGGGCTCCAGGAATGGAGTGAAGGCAGCTACTGCCAGAACCTGGTACTAGAGCAAGGAGGCTGCAGGGGAGCAAGCACCTCCATCTCCCTCCTCCTGCTGCTGGCCTCCCGTGCAAACCTCTGATGGGCTGAACCCAAGGGAAATCCAGTGGCAAGGACCCCTGGGGAGGCCGACCTTATGGAGCACAGGACAGGACAGGGAAGGGCGGTGAGTCAGTCTGCCGAGGGGATGGATGGAGAGAATAGAGAAGAGCAGTGCATACACTTTACTGAAGGGGAAAAAGACTATATATTTTAAAATATATTTTTATTAATTTCAAAGAGGAAGGGAGAGGGAGGAAAAAATAGAAACATCAATGAGAAGAGAGAATCATTGATTGGCTGCCTCCCTCAGACCCCCTACTGGGGATAAAGCCCGAAACTTGGGCTTGTGCCATGACCAGGAATTGCCTGATTCATGGGTCAACACTGTCCAATTGAGCCATACCATACAGGCAAAAGCCTAACTTTTTATACATTCATATATGTGTGTGTAAATGCTCATAGAAAGCTCTAGGTCAGGGTATCCCAACCTCAGCTCTACTGGAATCCGGGACTGGATCACTTGTTACTGGGGGGCTGTCCTGTGCATTGCACTATGTTTAGCAAATCCGTGGCCTCTACCAGCGAGATGCCACGAGCCCTGCACCCACCCACCTCATTCCCTGGGTGTGACAATCAAGAACATCTCCCGACAATGCCAATTGTCCCCGGGCAGCAAATCACCCCGCAGGGCTCGGTTAAGTCTACAGACCAGACTGGGAAGACCTTGAGATGGAGGGCAGGTGGACAGAGTACTGAGAAAGAGTTTATTCATTTTTAAATAATTATCTGTGTTATTTTCCCACTGAGAATATGTCCATGGCATGGGAAAATAACAAAAATAAAACCAAAGAAGGCAACAGTAAGTGATTTATCCAAATGTTGGAGCCCAGACATCTCCCTCTCCCAGTGGTCTTTCTGGTACAGTCGGTGGTGGGCACCTGGGTACCGGGGTATAGTAACCAGCCGCCCTCCCATCGGAACACATACCTGGCTGGGTTGGGAAGAGATTATGCTGAGCTGCAATATTTACTTCCCCCTGAGTCCCTCACCCCACCTACCATCAGAATTCCTGGGACCCCAACTGCATTGAAGGAAACCATTCATTATATTTGCCCCTAACTCCCACTCATGGGGGATTCAGAGCTTGGAACAAGAATGCTCCCATGGGTCATTTTTTTTTCAACAAGATGAGTTCATTGAACTGATAGTATCTTTTCTTTGCACAGGTTGGAGATACAAGGTATCAGTCACACTGGCTGGAAAAAAGGAAATGAGTGGGTCCATCATGATTGCTTTATATGGAAGCAATGGAAACTCAAAGCAATATGAAATTTTCAAGTAAGTTTGATAGTAAAGCGAAATGACCATACTTTCCCTAATAGATTATTAATACAATATTGGGTATAAACTTCTACATACATCTAGCCATACAGAACCTTTGAATCCGAATCCTAGAATGTCAGAGCCAGAAGGAAGTCTCTTAGCATCTAATTCAATCACCCCATAGGAGTAGAGGGAGGCTCAGAGAGGAAGCACTCACGATTTTAAAGGCTGACTCCTTCTGGATGGCCAGTCACTGCTTCCTTCCTGCTTAAATTATGGGGTTGTTGTTGTTTTATTTCTAATTTTTTTTTAAATTTTATTTCAGAGAAGGGATGGGAGGGTAAGAGAGAGAAAGAAACATCAATGATGAGAGAGAATCATTGAACACCTGCCTCCTGCACACCCCCTACTGGGGATAGAACTCACAACCTGGGCATGTGCCCTGACCAGGAATTGAACTGTGACCTCCTGGTTCATGAGTCCACACTCTATCACTGAGCCATACCAGCCAGGCCCTCCTTAAGTTTTATGAATATCATGTTCTCCTTAAACAAGGCACATTTATATGGCAACTCCTTCCCATCCTACACACACTCCATCCCCCACTTGTGTTGTGTTCCATGTGAAGCCTGAAGCTAGTTTCCTGTTGCGATGGTAGCCTCAGCGCCTAGCTTTGTGAGTATATGAGGCCCTTGGTAAAAATGTGTTGGGTAACTGTGCTGTAAAATTAGATTCTGTGTTTGCACTAAGTTTGCATAATAATTTTCATGTTAAGTTAAAGTTCTTTGACTACATTATGCTACATATGAGATGCCCACAGATGCCCCCAGCTGAAGCACATGCATCTTTAAACAAAGATAACGACTCCTTCATGAAATTATGAGTCAATACGACGCCCCAAGTAGTTGACTTCCCTCTAGGTACCAATGGAGACAGTGGACATCTAGAGTCCAGTATTATTCTAAAGGTGTGTTCTTCACAGATAGGTTTGTGTTTTAGCAACCCTGGATGTGTATGGAGGCAGTGAAGGGAATTGCAGAAAGCCAACAGCAGCAGCCATTGTTTGGAGTAAAAACAGGTTGCTAACACCCTAGAATTCATCTCTCAAGCTGATAGAACACTTTATGTCTATGTTTGCAGAGGATCCCTCAAACCAGATGCAAAACATATGCGTGACATTGATGTGGACATCAACGTTGGAAAAATCCAGAAGGTTAAGTTCCTTTGGGACAAACGTTGGCTAAATATGTTCCGGTACAAACTGGGGGCTTCAAAAATCACAGTGCAAACTGGAGAAGATGGGACTAAGTGAGTATCTTTCATTGCACCTAAGTCTTGTTTTTGTATTTCCTTATCAATCTATCTGTGCAAACATACATGCATACATTCAATCACCCACACATCCACCTACATATCCTTCTACCCACCCATTCCTTCATTCCTTTCTCTCCATCCACTTAACCACTGACCTATCCACTTATCCATGCAGCCATTCATCTACTCAACTATTCCTCTCAACTCTGCATCTTTCCATCTATCCATCTGATTTACTTGGAAAAATCAATCATTGTTTTCCTTAAGCCAAATTCAACTTGGCTGGAGCAAGACATCAATTGTAAGGCATAGGTTCAAGAAACAGGCCAATAGGAGACTCTGTTTTATCTCAGACAAGAAGGAAAGCCCCCGGGCAGTAGCTGTAGGAAATCTCGGGTTTATTTCCATTGGGTGCATTTATTCATACAAATTGTTTTGTTTGGAGACTGTGGCCTGAGAGGAATACAGACTGTGTGAGGATCTAGCTCCCAGTGGCAAGCTCCTCTCTAGCTGTGAGGATAGAATCTTACTTGGTGAGAGTAGGGAGAGAACATAACAGTGTTTATAATATGGCAAGAAAAAAGGCAACCTTAATAGAGGATGATACAAAACAACAGATGTCAGGGTCTGAAGGAAACTCAGAGATCACCTCTCACCTGCTCTCATGTTAAGGTGAGAAGAGTGGGGATTCGCAGAGTCACATAACGTGTCTAAGGCCACCCAGGAAAGCTAGAGGGAAGAGTATTTGCAAACTATTTTCAAAAACACATATGAAGACCTTGCTGAGCTGCATGACTTAGCTGTGCTGACAGTACATGGTCATAGTCCCCATTCCTGGGCATGGTGCTGGAAGGGTCAGAGGTCACTGCGGCTGTGCCAGTACTTTGTTTATTCAAGAGCAGAGCTTGAGCCTGAGGTACGACCAGGACTTGGACCACAGTCCTCTGACCTCTAATCCAGCCACATTCTGAAGCTGAGCCCTGAGGGAGGCTCGTCTTTAGCCAAAGACGCCCACAGGAAAAGGAGGAGGCCAGGTGTTCTGCACCTCATGGCTGGGTTGTTGCCCCAACTGGGCGGGCTTTACCCTCTTCAGGAGTGACATCCCTCCATAGTCTTCCCCCCGCCAACATCTCTATTGAGATATAATTTTCATAGCCTGTGTTCACCCATTTAAAGTATATACTTCAGTGATTTTTAGTGTATGTGCAGTGTTGTGGAATCATTTCCAAGGTCAATTTTAGAACACTTCATCACCCTTCTCAAAAACACCCCCACATATCAGCCATCATCCCATAACCTCCCACCCCTTTTCTCCAGCCCTGGGCAACCTGCTTTATGTTTTGATAGATGTTCCTATTCTGAACATTTCATATAAAAGGCAATATTTATAGTCCTTTGTGACTGGATTTTTTCATGTAGCATAATATGTTCAAGGTTCATCCAGGTTGTGACATGTATCAGTACTTTATTCCTTTTTACTGCCAAATAATATTCTCTTATATGGATATACCACCTTTTATTTATCCATTCAGCTGTTGATGGACATCAGGGATGTTACCACTTTGGGGCTATTATGAATAATGCTGCTGTGAACATTTATGTACAAGTTTTTGTGTGGACATATGTTTTCATTTCTCTTGGGTACATACCTAGGAGCGGAATTGCTAGCCTATGTGATAACCAATATGTTTAACCAAGAACTGCCAGACGGTTTCCCAAAGTGGCTGCCACATTTTCCCTTCCCAGAAGCAATGTATGAAGGACCCCCCAGGTTCTGAACTCTAGGGAAAGTCCCCTCTTGGCAGGTGGGGCACCCCAAATTCATTGCCAGGGCCACCCAAATCCACAGATTTTGAAAATCTGTGGTTGACACAGCTGATTCACCTTCAGCTTGTTAAAAGGCCACAGGAGGAGAGGGTGTTCTTTAAGGGGTTTTGCTTAGTAGAACCACCTGGACTCTGCATGGTGTAACCAAGCCCTTTCAGTCAAAAGGTCTGAACTCCAGGGTTTGGCTAAATGCTGTTTACTCACCTGAGGTGACATTTCCACAAGCTGCCAAGCCTCACGCTGAACATGTTCTCCTCCGCAGGTATCATTTTTGCAGTGGCGACACCGTGAAAGAACACCAGTTACAGTCCCTTCTTCCTTGTTAAAAATGTGGTGCTCTTGCCCTAATTGGTTTGGCTCAGTGGATAGAGTGTCGGCCTGCAGACTGAAGGGTCCCAAGTTTGATTCCGGTGGCATGTACCTTGGTTGTGGGCACATCTCCAGTAGTTGGTTGTGGGAACGTCGCCAGTAGCAGGAGGCAGCTGATCAGTGTTTCTGACTCTCTATCCTTCTCCCTTCCACTCTGCAAAAAAAAATCAATAAAGTATATTTTTAAAAAATGTGGTGCTCTCTTTTATCTTTGTGGTAATAAATTTTTAATGCCCTCGGGTTGACATTGAGGTGTTAGTTTGCCATCCTCTGGGTTCTGGGGTCACGTTTTGGAAATGATTTTTCAGACTAGAGCCCAGGCCCCGGCCAGTGTTCTAGTGGTTAGACCACCAAAGGGTCTCAGGTTCAATTACTGGTCAAGGGCACATTCAAGGGTTGCATTTTCCATCCCTGACCTTGGTTGGGGTGCTTATTGGAGACAACCCTCAATGCGTCTCTCTCATATGGATGTTTTTTTCTCTCTCCTTCCCTCTCCCTTCCACTCTCTTTAAAAATCAATGGGAAAAATGGTTTTGGATGAGGATTAACAACAACAACAAAATGGTGGAGCCAAGTTGGCTGCAGGTCATGTCTGAAACCTCCCACCCGCGGTCCTTTGCCACCATCTTTCTCAGGGCACCTGTGTGGCTTGTTCTAATGTAGACCATGCAGTTCTGTCCTGTTTGAAAAGCTCATCATTACTTCCACGTGTTGCCTGCCCAGCTTTTAACATCCTAAAGCAGCGGTTCTCAACCTGTGGGTTGCAACCCCTGTGGGGGTCGAATGACCCTTTCACAGGGGTCACCTAAGACCATCGGAAAACACATATATAATTACATATTGTTTACAGTAGCAAAATTACAGTTATGAAGTAGCAACGAAAATAATTTTATGGTTGGGGGGTCACCACAACATGAGGAACTGTATTAAAGGGCATTAGTAAGGTTGAAAACCACTGTCCTAGAGGGAGGGATCTGACCCCATAGAAGAGCAGCCTGGGTGGCATGTGTACCTCTGAGCCATTGGAGGGTGAGGGCCTTAAAAACGTGAATTTGCACATGGCACCCAATGCAAATGAGCCAGGGAGTATTCTTACACAAGGTACTTCTTCCAGCCTTGCCCCCAGTCCCCCAGTTCCTCTCCCAGGAACAACTTGAGGTTTTTCCAGCAATATGTGTGCACCTATCTCATATACCCCAGCCCCACTTCCACAGCTGGTAGCCTACAAAACACCGTTCTTACCCTGCTTTTTACAGTGTAAAAATAATTTGGATATTATGGTCTAACTAGAGGCCCAAAGCATGTAATTCGTTCAAGAGTAGGCCTTCCCTCCCCCGGCTGCTGGCACTGGCTTCCCTCTGGCACCCGGGTCCCAGGCTTCTGTCACAGCCCCGACTTTATCCAGAAGGTCGTCCGAAAGGACGTCTGGTCTAATTAGCATGAAGGACTTCTGATCTAATTAGCATATTATGCTTTTATTATTATAGATAGTATAGAAAGAGTCTCTTTAATCTTCATGGGGCTTCACAGATGCCACCAAGGGATGGATGTGGTGTGCTCGTCCCTGCTGATGGGCATAGAAATGGTCTCCAAACTTTTCTTATTGTAAATATGCATGCATCTAACATCCTTCTGTGATGTGTGTGGCGTGTGGGCCTTCTAGCCTGGCCTCTGCCCTAACCCCTGGCCTCCCACTGACCCCCGGCCGACCTGCCCACTCGCTCCTGGGAACCCGGGGAGTTGGATAGGCTGGTGAGGTGGAGGGTGTCACTTTCAGGGGCCGGGGATGGTGGAGCAGGGTTCGCCTGTTGAGCAGGAGTGAGAGCATCACCATTTAATTCTTAGCATTAAGAAATGGCTTCATTTAGCAATTCCCTGAAAGGCTGTGTGACAGGTGTGGTGGGCGCTCAAAGGGAACCAGGGGACACCCCAAGGTCCTGAGAATGAGGCAGAAGGAGCTCTCCCTTCCCTTTAGGGGGCGCCTCTCTACTTCCTAGCAGGACAGAGAGCCGGCTCCCTTCCTCTTTGTGTTTCCTAAAATTCTCTTTCCGGAAGCACTGTCCAGCATTCAAAAGCTTGGTCTGCTGCAGTGAAATAGGTCCTTGTCGGAAACCTTCGAGGTCCAAGGTCTCGAGATTCCAGAACTAGGAGGATGTCAAACTAACACCTCAATGTCAACCCGAGGGCTTTAAAAATTTATTGCCACAAAGATACACGAGAGCAGCACATTTTTTTTCTTTAAATATACTTTATTGATTTTTGGAAGAGAGGAGGGGAGAGGGATAGAGAGTCAGAAACATCTATCAGCTGTCTCCTGCTACTAGGGATGTGCCCACAACCAAGGAACATGCCATTGACTGGAATCAAACCTGGGACCCTTCAGTCTGCAGGCCGACACTCTATCCACTGAGCCAAACCGGTTAGGGCAAGAGCACCACATTTTTAACAAGGGAGAAGGGTCTGTAACTGGTTTTCTTTAAGCGTATTGCCACTGCAAAAATGATACCTGCGGAGGAGAACATGTTCAGCGTGAGGCTTGGCAGCTTGTGGAAATGTCACCTCAGGTGAGTAAACAGCATTTAGCCAAACCCTGGAGTTCAGACATTTTTGAATGAAAGGCTTGGTTACACCATGCAGAGTCCAGGTGGTTCTACTAAGCAAAACCCCTTAAAGAACACCCTCTCCTCCTGTGGCCTTTTAACAAGCTGAAGGTGAATCAGCTGTGTCAACCACAGATTTTCAAAAACTGTGGCTTTGGGTGGGCCTTGCAATGAATTTGGGGACTGGGGTGCCCCACCTGCCAACAGGGGACTTTCCCTAGAGTTCAGAACCTGGGGTGTCCTTCATACATTGCTACTGGGAACGGAAAATGTGCCAGCTACTTTGGAAAACAGTCTGGCAGTTCTTCTAAAGGTTAAACTAGTAGTTACCACATAGGCTAGCAATTCCGCTCCTAGGTATGTACCCAAGAGAAATGAAAACATATGTCCACACAAAAACTTGTACATAAATTTCCACAGCAGCATTATTCATAATAGCCCCAAAGTGGTAACATCCCTGATGTCCATCAACAGCTGAATGGATAAATAAAAGGTGGTATATCCATATAAGAGAATATTATTTGGCAAGAAAAAAGGAAAAAAGTACTGATACATGTTATAACATGGATGATCCTTTTACATACTATGCTATGTGAAAAAAGCCAGTCACAAAGAACTATATATATTGTCCTTTTATATGAAATGTCCAGAATAGGAACATCTATCGAAATAGAAAACAGGTTGCATAGGTCTGGAGAAAAGGGGTGGGAGGTTATGGGATGATGGCTGATAGGTGTGGTTTTTTTTGGGAAGGGTGATGAAATGTTCTAAAATTGACTTTAGAAATGATTCCACAACTCTGCACATATACTAAAAATCACTGAAGTATATACTTTAAATGGGTGAACACAGGCTATGAAAATTATATCTCCATAGAGATGTTGGCGGGGGGGGAAGACCATGGAGGGATGTCACTCCTGAAGAGGGTAAAGCCGGCCCAGTTGGGGCAACAACCCAGCCATGAGATGCAGGAGACCTGGCCTCCTACTTTTCCTGTGGGCGTCTTTGGCTAAAGACGAGCCTCCCTCAGGGCTCAGCTGCAGAATGTGGCTGGATTGGAGGTCAGAGGAATGGGGTCCAAGTCCTGGTCGTACCTCAGGCTCAAGCTCTGCTCTTGAATAAACAAAGTACTGGCACAGCCGCAGTGACCTCTGACCCTTCCAGCACCACGCCCAGGAATGGGGACTATGACCATGTACTGTCAGCACAGCTAAGTCATGCAGCTGAGCAAGGTCTTCGTATGTGTTTTTGAAAATAGTTTGCAAATACTCTTCCCTCTAGCTTTCCTGGGTGGCCATAGACATGTTATCTTCTCACCTTAACATAAGAGCAGGTGAGAGGTGATCTCTGAGTTTCCTTTAGACCCTGACATCCGTTGTTTTCTATTATCCTCTTTTAAGGTCACCTATTTTCTTGCCATATTGTAAACACTGGTATGTTCTCTCTCTACTCTCACCAAGTAAGATTCCATCCTTTCAGCAAGAGAGGAGCTTGCCACTGCGAGCTAGATGCTCACACAGTCTATATTCCTCTCAGGCCACAGTCTCCAAACAAAACAATTTGTATGAATAAATGCACCCAAAGGAAATAAACCCGAGATTTCCTACAGCTACTGCCCAGGTACATTCCTTCTTGTTTGAGATAAAACAGAGTCTCCAATTGGCCTGTTTCTCGAACCTATGCCTTACAATTGATGTCTTGCTCCAGCCAAGTTGAATTTGGCTTAAGGAAAACAATGATTGATTTTTCCAAGTAAATCAGATGGATAGATGGAAAGATGCAGAGTTGAGAGGAATAGTAGGGTAGATGAATGGCTGCATGGATAAGTGGATGGAGAGAAAGGGATGAAGGAATGGGTGGGTAGAAGGATATTTAGGTGGATGGTTGGGTGATTGAATGTATGCATGTATGTTTTCACAGATAGATTGATAAGGAAATACAGAAACAAGACTTAGGTAGAGTAAAATATACTCACTTAGTCCCATATTCTCCACTTTGCACTGTGATTTTCGAAGCCCCCAGTTTGTCCCGGAAGATATTTAGCCAATGGTTGTCGGAGAGGAACTTAACCTTCTGGATTTTTCCAAGATTGATGTCCACATCAATGTCACGCACATGTTTTGCATCTGGTTTGAGGGATCCTCTGCAAACATAGACATAAAGTGTTCTATCAGCTGGATAGATGAATACTAGAGTGTTAGCAACCTGTTGTTACTCCAAACAATGGCTGCTGGTGTTGGCTTTCTGCAATTCCCTTCACTGCCTCCATACACATCCAGGGTTGCTAAAACACAAACGTATCTGTGAAGAACACACGTTTAGAATAATACTGGACTCTAGATGTCCACTGTCTTGATTGGTACCTAGAGGGAAGTCCACTACTTGGGGCGGCATATTGACTTTTTAATTTCATGAAGGTGTCTTTATCTTTGTTTAAAGATGCATGTGCTTCAGCAAGGGTCATCTGTGGGCATCTCATATGTAGCATAGCAAGTAGTCAAAGAACTTTAACTTAACATGAAAATTATTATGCAAACTTAGTGCAAAAACAGAATCTAACTGTACAGCAGACTTATCCAACACATTTTTACCAAGCGCCTCATATACCCACAAGAGCTAGAGCTGCGGCTACCATATCAACAGGAAGCTAGCTTCAGGTGTCACGTGGAACACAGCACGAGTGGGGGATGGAATGTGTGTGTGGGATGGGAAGGAGTTGCCATATAAATGTGCTTTGTCTAAGGAGAACATGATATTCATAAAACTCTACCACTGATGTGGCTCAGTGGTAGAGTGTGGACTCATGAACCAGGAGGTCACAGTTCAATTCCTGGTCAGGGCACATGCCCAGGTTTTGGGTTCTATCCCCAGTAGGGTGTGTGCAGGAGGCAGGTGATCAATGATTCTCTCTCATCATTGATGTTTCTCTCTCTACCTCTCCCTTCCTTTCTCTGAAATAAAATTTTAAATAATTAAAAACAACAACAAGAACAACCCCACAACTTAAGCAGGAAGGAAGCAGTGACTGGCAATCCAGAAGGAGTCAGCCTTTAAAATCGTGAGTGCTTCCTCTCTGGGCCTCCCTCTTCTCCTATGGGGTATTTGAATTAGATGCTAAGAGACTTCCTTCTGGCTCTGACATTCTAGGATTCAAAGGTTCTGTTTGGCTAGATGTATGTAGAAGTTTACATCCAATCTTGCATTAATAATCTATTAGGGAAAGTATGGTGATTTCACTTTACTGTCAAACTTACTTGAAAATTTCATATTGCTTTGAGTTTCCATTGCTTCCATATAAAGCAATCCTGAAGGACCCACTCCTTGTCTTTTTTCCAGCCAGTGTGACTGATACCCTGTATCTCCAACCTGTGCAAAGAAAAGATACTATCAGTTCAATGAACTCATCTTGTTGGGAAAAAAAAATGACCCATGGGAGCATTCTTGTTCCAAGCTCTGAATCCCCCATGAGTGGAAGTTAGGGGCGAATATGAATGGTTGTTTCCTTCAATGCAGTTGGGGTCCCAGGAATTCTGATGGTAGGTGGGGTGAGGGACTCAGGGGGAAGTAAATATTGCAGCTCAGCATAATCTCTTCCCAACCCAGCCAGGTGTGTGTTCCGATGGATGGAGGGTGGCTGGTTACTATACCCGGGTACCCAGGTGCCCACCACTGACTGTACCAGAAAGACCACTGGGAGAGGGAGATGACTGGTCTCCCACATTTGGATAAATCACTTACTGTTGCCTTCTTTGTTTTTTATTTTTGTTATTTTCCCATGCCATGCACATATTCTCAGTGGAAAAACAACACAGATAATTATTTAAAAATGAATAAACCCTTTCTCAGTGCTCTGTCTACCTGCCCTTCATCTCAGGGTCTTCCCAGTTTGTCTGTAGACTTAACCAACCCCAGCGAGGTGATTCGCTGCCCGGGGACAATTGGCATTGTCTGGAGATGTTCTTGATTGTCCCACCCAGGGAATGGGGTGGGTGGGTGCAGGGCTCGTGGCATCTCGCTGGTAAAGGCCACGTATTTGCTAAACATACTGTAATGCACAGGACAGCCCCCCAATAACAAGTGATCCAGTCCCGGATTCCAGTAGAGCTGTTTGGATACCCTGACCTAGAGCTTTCTGTGAGCATTTACACACACACATATATGAATGTATAAAAGTTAGGCTTTTGCCTGTATGGTATGGCTCAATGGGTCAGTGTTGACCCATGAATCAGGAGGTCATGGTTTGATTCCTGGTCATGGCACAAGCCCGAGTTTCAGGCTTGATCCCCTGTAGGGGGTGTAGTGATCAATGATTCTCTCTCCTCATTGATGTTTCTATTTTTTCCTCCCTCTCCCTTCATCTTTCACATTTATAAAAATATATAGGCTTTTTCCCATTCCGTAAATAATATGCACTGCTCTTCTCTATTCTCTCCATCCATCACCCAGCCAGACTGAGTCACCGCCCTTCCTTGTCCAGCCCTGTGCTCCATAAGGTCGGCCTCCCCAGGGGTCCTTGCCACTGGCTTTCCCTTGGGTTCAGCTCATCAGAGGTTTGCACGGGCCAGCGGCGGCATGAGGAAGGAGATGGAGGTGCTTGCTCCCCTGCAGCCTCCTTGCTCTAGTACCAGGTTCTGGCAGTAGCTGCCTTCACTCCATTCCTGGAGCCCCGCAGCCACTAGATTCTGGGCGCCTCAGCATCCCTCCTTTGTTCTTTCAACCCTGTCCCCTCCTCCAAAAGCGGGCCCTCCAGTGAGGTCTCCTCGTTGAACCACTTGAATGAGCTCTGTCTTCTGCAGAGACCCTGACTGGAACAGGATATATTACGTGATGGTTTGATATTTGCCTGTTTACTTAATATGCCCTAGAGGTTTTCTAGATCCTTCCTTGAATGGTTACATAGAGGGAGGATGTGGTTTTTTAACAAGTGGTGGATATCTAGCTTAATCCCCGCGTTCTTTTGGTATTAAAATTAGTGCTTAGGTGAACATCCTTGAATACTGTCTCCCGCACACATGCAAGCATTTTCCTAAGGTGCATTCTGACTTAAAGGAATATTCTTGTAAGACTTTATAGATACTCCCAACTGTTATCGTTTATGCTAAGTGTCGCATTGAATGAATATTACATGAAATACTGTCAGAAAGCAGTGTTTGGTGAAGTGCTACATAAATGTTTTTCAATGTAAAACTCCCTTGGAAAATACATGCTTTTCTGTTCAGCCATCATGTAATATTAATTATAACAAACAAATCTTGATGCTTTTACTATCCTCTTTTTAAGTGAGAAGCTGCGCAAAATAACACACACACACAAAAACACAGCATGCTCACGTGTGTGTAAACAGGGGGACTAGCATGGTGGGTAATCACAGGGTGCCTATGCCCCATCTTGCCTTCTTCTGTTCATGGATCCGTCCTTCCTGCCACAGGGTTGGGTGGACATGTGACCAGCCTGGGCCATTCATGGTCGACCTACTCCACTGGTCAGGATTATTGGTCAAAGGGGTGAACGTGAGAGGCAAGACAAATGCCATTCTACCGTCCTTCCATTATCATTTAAGCTGGCTGGTGTTGAGTTTCTATCCATTGCTACCAAGGGTCCTAACTAACAAGGTTGATACACCTTTTAAAATCATTTGCAGCTTTTAAGTGGTCACAATGGAAACTTACGAGTAAAGTTACCACTCTCTCCTGTGTTCAGAAAAAACGTTTGTCCCACGGCGCTGGTGTTGCCCTGAAATTGGTCAGCATAGTGCCCCATTTTGGGGCATCCTGTGACTGGACAAGGAAAACAGCCATTCTGGTGGAAAAACAAAAATTTGTCTGTGAGTGGTAGGCCTTTCACTCATTCACTCACTCAATTGATCAATTCATCTTCCCATCCATCCCTCCCTCCCTCCTTCAATCATCCACTCATCCATCTAATCATCTTTCTATTCATCTGTCCATCTACCCTCCGTCCATTGATTAATGCATCCATCTCACCCATGCCGTCCAGGCATCCTTTGAGAATTATTCGGAATGAAAAGTTGGGGATCTAGTGAAGGACCCCTCAGGTCAGGTCTGTGCCATCTGTCGCCTGCCCACCCCGCTCCCTGGAGAAAGAAGGCTCTGCGAGGCTCAGCGTTACCAGCACCTCCTCTTACTAATCCTGGAGTTACATCTCTGCTCTGTTCCAAGCCACAGGGACAAAACCAACAACCACAGAGCCACCCCACCCTCCCCAGGCCCCTGGGGAGACCCACCTCCTGAAACTCCTCGTAGGAGGCACACGGGTAGCCCAGGAAGCCGTCGGGGTAGAGGATGCTGCTGGAGTAGTATTTGTAGCTTCTCAGGTGATTGCAGGATACAGGGTCTCGGCTTCCTGAGGAAGCAAAAGCCACGAGAGCTCACAGGAGACTCTCACTTTTGAAGCTTGAAAGTTCTGATCTGAATAAGGAGTCACCTCCTCGTTTCATAGAGGGGTGTCAGCATTCCCGAATGCCTTGGTCACAATTTCAAGTTCCTGTCATTGACTTTGACATACTGTGGGGCAAATAGTTAATGATCAACATTTACAGCACATAGGGATGGTATCTGGGGGCTTCTTTAGTCATGGGGTTTGGCTCTGGTCACTTTCTTCTGCCACCCATGTGCCCATGTGCTGAGCAGGGCCTACTCGGGGCTGGGCATGTGCTGAGGAGGGATGAGTTCTAACAAGGACTTGTGTCCAATCCTCCAGGGGCCAGGCGTCTGACAGAAGTGAAGGATGAGGGCTGGAGGCCTTGGGGAGAGTGAGAAGAATATATACAGAAAGGAGAGAAAGAGAGAGGTGGGGGAAGAGAGAGAGAGAGTGGGGCGGGGGGCGGAATCTGTTTCCAAAATTGTGTGGTTGTTGGCAGGATTCAGTTCCTTGTGGGGTATTGACTGAAGGCCTCAGCTTTTTACTGGCTGTTGTTCTTTGACAAATGGACTTTTCCATATTGTGACTTCCTTCATCAAAGAGAGAGAGAGAGAGAGAGAGGCAATAGCTTTCAAAAGGAATCTTACACTGCCAGCCAGTTGTTGAATGTTAAGGCCCAGTTTGCTTGGTCTTCTGATTTTTCATGAGAAACCTGCATCTTGACTTTGACATGACAATGTTCCATGCTTACATGACAGCAGTGCATTCCCTCTTTAAAACCGGTCCCTGTGAAGGCCGACCACAGGCTCCTGTGGGTAGGGCTGGGCCAGAGGGCCCCAGTTTGAGAACCAGGGACCATACCTGCCTGGCTTGTCCCAGGAATGCAGCTTTTCTGTGCCCAGGGCCCCAGGCTGAGAAATCCCTCCTCCTTGGAAATCCTGAGGTCAAAGCAGTGGAGACCAAGGTCCCCTGGGCCCTAGGCCACTGTGTCACTGCATTTTGTCTGCCACCCTTTTCTTCAACCCAAGTCCTCTTATTTGAAAAACTATTTTTGTTTGTTTGTTTTTTCATTTCTCCAGCTCCTTGGTACAAAACCTCCCATGGCGTGATGCACAGTGACCCCAGACATACCTGGGGACCACCTCTGGGAGTTCTGGGGGGTCCTCTTTGTGCTCGTGGATTAGCTCTGCCAGCCCCAGGGCCCAGGGACTCCTGCACCAACACTCATCACCAGACAACACAACCTGTTTCCACCTTAATTGTTTCTTTCACCCAGAATTGCTGCCCTGGGATCCATAATAGAGGGGCAAGTGGATTTAATTGTTCCTCCAGCCCCTCCCCTGGGTGACTGGGAGCCCACACAATAGACGCACATCCTGTGGGCATGTTCACTCTAAATTGCCTCTTTAATTAAAGCTGGGCTCCTTGCTATTATGTGGGGCCTGCTGGTGGCTTCTGGAAGGGGCAGCCTCATGGTGACTCAGTGCTCCTTCAGCTGGGTCTTCCCTGGAGTTACCTGGTGCTGGGCAGAGTGTTCAAAGGCTCCATTGGCTGACGGTGGATGTTGGTTACTGCTTTATCCACTCTATTCGTTCACATTAAGCACATGGAATATTCAATGCCACAGAAGGCCTCTCTGCTCAGTGGAGTGGGCTGTACTGAGCGCCTGCTCTGGGCCAGCCCTGAGCAGGGTACTGGGGTGTCTGGGATGCCCGGGAAACTCCCAGTGGAGACAAATAAACACTAAAATGAAATGATGGCAGACTCAAAGCCTCCATGTGCAGGGAGAATATGAAGCCTGGTCTCCAGGGAGAGGCAACAAGAGAAGAGGAGAGGTCAGACAAGGACAGGTGATGGAGGTGGTGCTGTAAGTCACCTAATCATAGGGGGACTGAGCCTGTCTCTCATGTAAACGCAGACCTCATGTGGATGAAAAATGGGACACATACTAAACCTGAGAAACTCAGGGGAGGCCTGCATGGTGGCCTTACAAACTCAGAGGCCGAAAGTAACCACGTGGGGTGAGCTGAACATAAAAATTCCTAATTAAAAGCTGGTCATGGAGGATAGTCCTGTCCCAGTCCTATAGCTTCTTTGACAAATGTCAATCTTTTTTTTTTTTAATTCTCACCTGAGTATATGTTTATTGATTTGAAAGAGAGAGGAAGGGAGAGAGGGAAACATCAATGTGTTTCCTCCCATATGGGCCCTGACCAGAAATCAAACCCAAAACCGTTTTGGTATATAGGACAAAGCCCCAACGAACTGAACCATCTGGCCAGGGTGACAAGGAACCTTTACCTTAAGTGAAACTGTTTTCTTTTTGCATCTAAGAAAACACACCTTTTAAATATCAGAGTAATCTTTTCCAGATCCCTCAGGGCAC